GCCTTATTCTTTTACTTACTAAGTATAAGAATCTTGCTTATTTAAATTCAGAAGTCTGAATCTCTTTATCTTCTTTAATCTTATTAAAGGCGCAGAAGGTATTAGAAAGGCTTACTTTAAACTTAAGTCTGATCTCAAATATTAATACTGACCCAGAATAAGCTAGCGACAGGTCTAGAGATACAGATCTCTTGTAGTTGATAGTTTAACAACCGTTTCTAGTCAAAGAGCAGTCTTAGGATAATGTCACGTGTCACGTTAGAAGCAGGCGACGAGTGCGCGAGATCTTCAGCCCATGTTGAGTGCTATCCTAAGACTGAAGAGTCGACGGTGAGGGCCCTAGGGTCGCTTCTATATAGCAAGCATGCCCCTTACTAACGTCTAGTGCTAATCAATACCCGGCGCCCTAGCGCTAGCAGGCGACAAGTATAGCAGCTGTAACAATAATAGTATCCTTAGCAAATTCATCTAGCAAATCCACAAGCAGTAACAAAATTAACCTATCTCTTAATAACATAAATTTCACGCTTAAGAATATTATTTATATACTTTTTATTAAAGTTAATATTCTGTCTACTAATAAACTCTTAAGAGATTATAATATCTCTTATATAAATGCTGCAGGGCACTACTTATATAAGTAAGGAGCTCTATTAGCACACGTAGATAACTTAAACAGCCTACTAATTATCTCTATAGAAGAAAAGCTATAGGTCTTTTATACAGAATCAAAACCTAAGCCTATTTCTATAGAACTAGCTTACAAATAACTTAGGCATATAAGTAAGGCCCTTATACATAAAATAATTAATTAAATAACTAGCATATCTATTAGAAAAGCCGACTATAAGGCTTGTAATAGCTATAATGTAGGTTAAATAAAAGCAAGCCCTGTCTTAAAGCAAGCACTAAATAGGCGGGTAGGAACTCTGCTTAAAATAGTCTATTTAGATCTAATAAAGATGCTTATGCCCTTTCTTAATAATAAATTTCTATATCTCCTTATAATTATAGATAATTACTGTTAATATACATGGTCTTATAGTCTCTATAAGAAGTCTATTAAAGCTATATAGCCTAAGTGGCTTGCCTTAATTAAGAAACAAATCTTAGGAGTTATACTTAAGAGGATCTATATAAATAATAGTAGAGAATTTATTAAGATGAATAATACCTCGAAATACTATAACATAAAGGTATAATACTCTATAGCCTATACTTATAATTAAAATAGAATAGTTAAACATATAAATTAAGATATTCTAATCTATATCTAAAGCATTCTAACAGAAACTAATCTGCTATATAAGCTATAATATAAAATTACTATAATAATAACCTATTTCCGTATAATTTAGCCTTATAGACTCTTAAATAAGACCCCCTATGAAATCCTGTATAATAGGAAGCCTTACCTTACTTATCTAAGAGCTATTGACTCTAAAACAACGGTATTAATCCCTAAAGAGGTTAGAAAATATAAGTTATAAAGCGTTATAACTATAAGGCGGCTTATAGGTTATAAAGAAACAAATTAATATTGAATTTAGGACCCTTAAATAAATAAAATTATCTAGGTAAGAAATGTTAAAATTAATAAATCTAATACTAGATATATTAAGGAACTATATAAGGCATCTGAATAGCCTGAGGGAACTTCTATAATATCTATGAATGCTTAAACAACTTCTATAACATCTATAAAAGCTGAAATGGCTTAGAATATATATAGAAACAGAGATAATAAAATAAACGCTAGTGAATTAAGCTCTAAAACTATAATTTTAAGACTTGAATCTAATAAGAATCTTTAATATGCCTTTTATATAGATTAAACCCTTATCTTTATAGATATTAATAATCTTATAAATAACTATACTAGTATTAAAAGCGAATCAAGATCTTATAAAGCGAAGGATATAGAGTTTTAACTTATAAATCTAAGGATAGATTAAGCAGGGATCTCTAAGCTAATATATTATTTAAGAAGACATTTAAGACCTTTATAAAAGCTTTATAAGAATCAAATATCCCTTAACAAAATCCCCTTTATACACATTTTATTAGCGTTAATACTAGCTTTGTTAGACGCTTCTAGGTTATATAAGGAGGCAAAATAATATGCTAACTACTAAGAATAAATAGCTGTATCAGATAAAGAGCTATACGCTTTAGAAAGCAATAAAATATAGCAAGTTCTACCTAAAACTAAGGTACTTACTAATCAGAAGATACTCTGTGGCAGATATATCTATATATATAAGTGTAACAGATAATATAAAGCTAGATAAGTAATTAAAGGCTTTAAACAAGTAAAAAGAATTAACTATTAAGAGGCCTTTACTGCTATAACACAAGCAGATTTATATTAAACGCTTATAGCACTTGCTATACTTAAGGGCTTTAGTATAGAAAGCCTTAACATTAATATAGCATTTCTATATAGCAAAATAGATTACGAAATCTATATTAAATTGCCTTTAAATACTATACTTCTAAGAGGGTCAAAAGAGCCCTTCTGTAGCCTCCTTAAGAAGAGCCTTTATAGCCTTAAATAAGCTCTACAAATTTAGACTAGAATACTTTATTTAACACTTAAAGAATTTAGATTTAAGTAAATAATTTATAAGCATTTTATCTTTTATAAAGATGACCTAATTATAGCTATCTATGTAAGTAATCTATTAATAATAGATTAAACTTTAGAAGTTATAACTAAATTTAAGCACAAGTTTAGAGAACATTATAAGATTAAGGATATAAGCTCTGTAGAAGACTATCTTAGTATTTAGATTATACAGAATAGTGACTCTATTACCTTATCTTAGAAGAGCTATTTTGAGAAGGTTCTACATTATTTTAATATAGATAACGCAAATCTGTAATCTATGCTTATATAAGATAGCACTTAAATCTCTATAGATACAAATGATGATAATCTGCTACCTCTAAATAATAAGCTTAAGTATTAATTAATTATTAGAAGCCTCACGTATAGAATATAAGGTACTTAGCCTGATCTAGCGTATTTTGTATCGCTATTAAATTAATTTCTAGCTAGGCCAAAGGCTATCTATATAGGTATAGCTAAGGGGGTCCTTTAATATATTTATAGAACACTTAGCTATAGCCTTAAATTCTCTAGAATAAGGAATTCAGAGCCTATCTTTTATACAGATTCAGACTTTGCGGGCCTTACTCTGTAAGATAGAATGAAATCAACCTCTAGCTACGTAGGATACCTTGCTAGCACGCTAATTATTTGGTTCTTAAAGTGTCAAACAGTAACTATAACCTCTAGTACAGAAGCAGAATATATTAGCTAATTTAATGCTATAAAGCATATAATCTATATTAGTTACTTTTTGACAGAACTCTCTATCCCTTATAGTACTTTAATAACGCTATTTGCGGACAATTAAGGCGCTTAAGCAACTGTACGAAATCCGGAGTACTATAGCAGGCTCAAGCACATTGCTATAGCGTACCACTATCAAAGAGAGCTAGTAGAAGAAGGACTTATCCAGCTGAAGCATCTTCCGACGAAGGATATGGCCGCTGACGGCCTCACAAAGCCACTTCTGAGAGTCAAATTCAATCAGTTCATAGAACTGCTGCAGCTTAACACCAAGCCAGCTATTTAGAATCTGAAAAGGGTAATCCCTAGACCTCGTACGACTATGGCACTTGCACAGCAAAAAGAGACGCTCTTTCCTATTTTCTCCCACAGGGTTTTTTCTAGGCTTTATTGAGGCTCTTGCTGACGAAACAAAGCTCACCTTCTGTTACTCTATACAGAGTCCCAAACGGGTAATTCAGAATGCTACAATGCTCCCTGAGAGGGAGTGTCAGAATCCCTGCGCATACGATACGTATCTGTTACGTATTAGCAGGATGATACAGGGGTCCCCGCATGCGAAACGCACGAAACGCTCTTGTAACTTTTACGCCCTGTTATTTATGGCAGTGAGCATTGTTATACGAATTGAACGCCAAATGCTGTTTCTGAGCTGTTGCAGTAATGCGCTTCTATAGCTATTAGTGTGAGCAAATGCTCCTCTTGATAGGAGCAACTCAATCAATTCAATTGGTATCTCCGTACGCTATTTGCTACATCCTCTAACACTTCGTACTTCATGATATGTCGTTGGCAGATTTCTCATGTTTAAAGCTTGTAGCCTACCTGTACTTCGAAAATTGTCCCAGAACAAAACGCAATGTGCTTATTACTTACTCTAGCCCAGCCTTGGCGCTTGCATAAACCTTCACCCTCAACCCCTTTGAATCCTCCGGCATCACTGGCGCCACCTCATCACTCGTAATAACCAAGTCCGCCGCCGTCGTCTCAAACAGCTCCAGAAGACCTATATCATCCACGCCCTGCACCTCCGCTGTTCCGTATACACGAAAAAGGCCGGCCAGTGTGAGATACAGCTCTGCGTATGCGAGATTGATACCCAAGCACGCCCTGCCACCCTTGCCAAATGACACCAGGTAGCGGTCGAGGCGCGGCTGTTCGATCCAGCGTTCCGGCCGGAAAGCGCGCGAGTCCGGGAAGATAGCCTCGTCATGGTGCACGAGGTTGCTCGTCATGCTGAGCGGAGTGCCGGGCGGGATGCGCCACTCGCGATGGCCGTCGTTGAAGACCAACGTCTCGTCCGGGCAGATGCGGTGCAGGCGGTGCGAGATGGCATGTGAGAGCCGCACGCCTTCCTGTACGACGCCGGTGAGGTAGGGGAGCTGCTCGAGGGTGAGGAGGTTCAGCGGTGCTGAGGGGTCCGGAATCGCAGCGGAGAGTTCGGCTTTCAAGGCTTGCAGGATGGAGGGCGTAGCGAGGGTGAAATAGGCGGAGACGCCGAGGCGCCCTCCTGCCACAGACGGTCGGTGGACTTGTCGTAATCTGACAGCTTGCTGTTGAGGATCTCGTGGAAGCTGGTGCGGCGCGTCTGGTCATACGCCGAGGCCTTGTGGGCGTGTTGAATCTCCGCAACTTGCTGCTTGATGCTCTGTTTCATTTAGGATATATTAGCGTATATGGTCGGTCATCGGAGGCAAAGACCATCTTCTGCGCCCTGATCTTACCGTCTGGAGCTTTGCGTACGCACCGATGGCTGGGCTCAGCTTGAGCAGCATCGAGTCAGGTAGTTTGCGCAAGGCGTCCATGAGCCATGGAAAGTGCTTCATCACATGCCCGGCCTTTCCACCCTGCAGCATGGCGTTCATGAAGGAAGGATCGAAATCTGGCGCCTTGAGACGATGCTCGCTTCTTCCAAAAGCGTAGTCCATGACGATATCTGGATGCGTATGAGCTACAGTTTACATTTCACTCGTGCGCAACGTTGGTCATACCGTTCGTCAGAGCAGCAAAGGTGGCATTCAAGGTCAAAGGCTCGCCCGTTTGTTGGAACTCGCGGAAATGCTTCATCAATAAAGCCATGTTCCGGTCGACCAAGGGCTGCAGCGCCCGGACGCTCTGCTTAGAAAAATACAGCGCCAACGAGGCTCGTCGTATGCGATGGTCATCATGGGGGAGCGTGCCTATCAGGCTCTCATCAACGCCGAAGGACTTCACGATCCAGTCCCACTTGTCGCGCTTCCTCCCGCTGCCCGCGTAGATGGTGTCGTAGAAGTCGGGTGCTGAGATGTGGATCTCGTCCGGGTTAATACGGAGAATTGATCCTGGCCTTTTCATCAGGGAAAAGTTTGGGGAAACGCAGAGATTCAATGAAGCGATTGCACGATACCGTATTGCTTGTGCAGCCGTCCAATCTTGAAGGTATATTCTGGCTCGGCGACAACATCATACCAAAATTCGTACCTGCACGCAGTCAGTTCCAGGCTGGCGATGGCCCAGGTGGAGGAGCGTATTGATACCAGTATGTTAATGCTGCAAGTTTCGGACCGGGGAACTTGGATATCGGGCTGAGAAACAAACGATATACCACGAGGTATATCAAGTAAAAGACGACAAGGCCGACAGCAGACAACACTGTCACAAACGGCTTGAGGCCATTGTCTGTTGGACCGAAAAGCGACATTGTGGTCCAGTGTAATGGCCAAATTAGGCAAGTGGTTCAAAGACGAGAAAGGAGAAAGAAGGAGGAATTTGGGGTATATCTGAGACGGGGACTCGACATGACGTGACAACGACAACCTGCAAGACACTGTATCAGCGAGACTAGAGTAGCCAAATCCTTTCACGCAAGTCGGCCCAGTCTCGATCACACTGACTTGGGATCCACCGCGAGCATTCGACTCCCAACGTCCTAGCCGCTCCATGTCTCAGCCCTCACATATACGGAACAGGGAGGATCTTCCTTTCTTGCTTTTGTGCATGCCACCTTAGCATGGAGGCAGATAGGACCTCTTAGCTCGAGTATCTGCATGGCGAGTACTGCCGAAAAGCAGGATTATCTTTTTCTCTCGCCTGTGCGGAGTCAGTAGCAGCCGATTCCTGCGCGCTATATTCCTAGTACTAGTAAGTAATACAACTGAGTTCTAGTTGAATACTACTCAGTCCAGACTCCTGAATGCCAAGACCCACCATGCCCTTCGTAAGTAATGCTCGTGTTGCGATGGGCATGGGTATTCATTGGACGGGCTTTTACCGGGAGGATGCATCTGCATCTCTGTGCTTCAGTTTGGCGGACAGGGATGACCTGTAAGTTGTCACACCAGCGGAGAGGTTAGGGAATCCTGTCTTCGTCCTAAGCTAACCGCACAAGATGCGCATCTCCACTGCCTTTTTCCACTACGGCACGCCCTCGGCCAGATAAACCGATTGATCTATACTGCTAGTTCAGGACTCTGGCAGCATTCACTTGCCATTGCCATTGCCATTGCCATTGCCTGCGGTGAGGTGGTGTGTCCTATTACTTCGCAGTACGTACAAGCGCACTGCCTCACCATGACATAGCTATTGTCTTCGCCTTCATCATTTCCAGCCTCTAAGACCACGCTACCGTCAAGATAAGCCCTTAACTTTTGTCTGCTGCTAGGATACGGCTGTCCCTCGCGTGTTTGATACATTATCCTTGTGGATTTTCCAAACTATCACTTCTCAAGAAGAACTTGAAACCATGTACAACAGCTGGCTATTGCCAATCCTCGGGCTGTCCGCGAGGGTTGCCCGTATCATTGCGACCGTTACACCTGATTATAGCGCCTGTGCGGAAGCGGTGTGTCTCCTTCATACTCAATCTGTTCTCGCGTATCAGCTTATCTTCCGAAAGTGTAATACCCTCTCCGATCTGCTCCCATCATCAGTAGCCACAGTAACAAGGCTCAATGAGAACGTAGAGCGCGAATATCTGGCGGTTTTCGAACAGCAGCCCGTTTTCACCCATACTGATGATCTAGCCTCCTTCTCGCCCTCCAAGCCATTCTATTGGGCGCAGCAGCAATCCAGCATCCAGTCCGCATGCTACGTCCGCGCACACAGCGCCCAGGATGTCGCGACGCTGGTGTCGGTCTCGCAATCATCCCGGTGCCCCTTGGCCATCCGCGGCGGCGGGCACTCGGATATTCCCGGCGCCAGCAACAGTCCCGGAGGCATCACGCTAGACCTTGCCGGTCTGGACGGCATTGAAATTGTCGAGGAGGGAAATGTAGCGAGATTGGGCGCCGGCCTCACGTGGGGGAAGGTGTACGCAGGGCTAGAAAAGACGAACCGCACCGTCGTGGGTGGAAGGCTGACCAATGTTGGTGTGGGTGGACTAACGTTGGGAGGAGGTTTAAGTCACTTCTCCGGCTTGCACGGCTGGGCCTGCGACAACGTCAAGAACTATGAGGTAGGAGTCCCTCTTCCCCCAATGCTATAGTCCCAGAACCAGCGCTCTAACGATTGTCCCAAGGTTGTGCTGGCAAACACTAGTATCATCCAAGTCTCGGCGGACTACCACGCCGACCTGTACCGCGCGCTCCGTGGCGGGGTTAACAACTTTGGCGTCGTGACACGCTTCGACGTTGACACTTATGCCCAAGGGCCCTTGTGGGGTGGCTTGCACATCTGGTCGCATACTGCGGATATGGCGGCTGCACTCACTAAGACTTTTACAGACTTCGCCCATGCCGCGCCGTCGGAGCCGCATGCCTCGCTGTTTGTCGGCCAGGGCTATAGGGCTGGCAATTATGCATACGCAGCCGGCCTCTACAATGCAGCCGGTACCGCCTTCCCACCCATCTTCCGCGCTTTTGAAATAGGAGAGCCGTTTGTGAGGGCCAAGATCGCGAGCACAGCGCGCGTAACGATGTTATCGGATCTGGCTGAAGAGCTCGATCAGTCGGAGCCGCCGGGTATGCGGAGTAGATTTACGACGGCGACCTTCAAGGCCGACACGGAGCTGCAGCGGCGCATCATCGAGATCTATATGGAGGAAATTGAAGCGACGCTAGCAGAGGGGTTGAGTGAGGATGAGAGGTTTGCGCCGATGATGGGTTTCCAGCCCTTGACTGTGAATTTCCTTCAGCAAAGTCAGAAAAGGGGCGGAAATATCATGGGTTTGGAGCCGGAGGATGCGCCTTTGATGGGTGAGTACGCATATCTCTCTTTGGGCGTTCCTCAGCAAGCTGTTGTAGCATTCCTCCAATCCAAAAGCGAAGCTATGCTGACTCCCAGCCAACCCCAGTATGCTCCTTCGGCTGGGAATGGTCCCACTCGACGGACGACCCCGTCGTCGTCCGTGGCATAAAAAATGTACTGGACCAGTCCGTGACGGCAGCCAAGGCAAGGGGTCTGTACCACAGCTTCAAGTACGCCAACTATGCTGCGTATGACCAGCACCCCGTTGCCGGATATGGACAGGAAAATGTCGCGTTCTTGAAAAGAGTGAGGAAGGTGTATGATCCAGAGGGCATTTTTACGACGTTGGTTCCCGGCGGATTTAAGATAGAATAGATAAGTCTCATAGATCAATTAAAGTGTACCTATGCGCACAATTGAATGTTGTGTAACAATCTGCAGGAGGAGATGTAGAAAGCAAGTTGTTCTATCTAGGAAGGGGGGATAGCGTGCGGAGATATACGTACAAATTGGCTGTACGGAGTATAGCCTAATACATATAGCATAATATTAGGAAGCTTAGTATAGCTTTAGCAAGGGCTTTAAACAGAAGTATTTATATTATCAGTCAGTACTGATTACAAGGCAATATTGTTAGACAAAAGCCATACTAGATGATGGGTACACCTTAGGTTTTTCCAAGCCTTAATGAAATCGTTGCATGTTATTTCCTTTACTTTTTTGCGCTGTAACTGCTGTAGAGTGGCCGTTGGCTTTAAACAGTTGGCTAGGAGACAATCTGTTTGATCGGGACGTACCCGCTTGTCTTGATCTACCCGAACTCGCCCAACCAGCATTCCGCCGGGCTGACTCGACCTTCAAATGCAAGGAACCCAGGTGAGACAATACTTCTAATGCGCAAAGGCACCGCACGCTCGAGCAAGCCCATGCATTCCGGGCCCGATGGCACGTGCCAAAAATAATGATAGTTCTCGCTCAACCACTATCTATTCTATCTATTCAATAGGGTATAGGCAACCCATTCCGCTCATTTAGGGCAGTTACTCTATCTGGCATTGTAGAAATTACCTTATTGATCTCATCCAGAGTAATTTTATCCCATTCCTCTTTGATAGCACGTTGTAATTCTGCAGGATCAAGAATAAGGCCTTGATTCTTAAGCCGCTGCTTTATTGTCCTCCAAATAGTCTTAATAGGGTTAAGATCAGGCGATTCTGGAGTATTAGCCTCCTATTTAATGCCTAATTGCTCCTTAGTCTGTTTGAGTCGATTGTGACGTTTACTGCGGGTACTGTCACGTGTCACGTTGGAAGCAGGCGACGAGTGCGCGAGATCTTCAGCCCATGTTGAGTGCTATCCTAAGACTGCAGAGCCGACGAGGATGGCACTGGGGTCGCTCCTATATAGCGAGCATGCCCCTTACTAACGCGTAGTGCCAATCAATACCCGGCGGCCCTAGCGCTAGCGGCTGACAAGCATGACAGCCGTGACATCACCCCCCCCTCTAGAAGACTCAACATGCCCTTATGTCTGATGAGAAAACAACAGCAGAACAGCAGCAGAGCAACAGCACAACAATAGCACAGCACACTGACCTAACATATCCTCCTGCTACACAGTTACCAGTATCTACTGGTAGTGAGGCCTATCTCTTCCCACAGCAACCTTTACCCAGTCCTCTAATCTCTGACGTTGTTCTGACACGACAGCATCAACGCCGGCCTCTATGATCGTATCAAAGGGGGCCACAACCGCCACTGATGCTATAGGCACTGACGTATCCTGACGTGTGGCGTTCTCAGGCCAGGTAATAGATAGCTCTGCCTTCTTTGCGGAACGCTTTGACTTCGTAGGCGTAGTTATAGAAGTGGGAGGCGTAGACGCAGCGTTTGATTATGCCATAGCAAGATTATACTTAGTGTTAGCTAGTTCTTTTTATAGCTGTTTACGCTCCTCTCTTAGCGCTAGTACTTCTTGCTTAAGCTTATTCTTAGCAGCCACAATGTTGGCTTGTTTCACTTCTATAACGCGCTAGCATTATATACAGAGTTTTATTATTATTTTTTTATATACAGGCTTTATTTTATGCCTAACTCTATAATTGATCTTGTTAATCATAGTCTTAAGGTCGTCTAGGATAGCCTTATTATTCTTATAGCATAATTCTAGCTTCTTAAACTCCTTTACCTCACTATATTGTACCCTTTACTTAGTTGAGGGTTTCTTATTAGTTAGCACACCTTTACTCTTGCTCGCAATAGTAGCTTAAGAGAGTTCTGTATTAGACTTAATTAGCGTAGTAGAGGTAAGGGCTATAGTGGTTTGAGATTCCTTAGTAATAGGGTTAAGATCAAGGTCAAGGGCGCTATTAGCTATAGCGGCAGTCTTTTTAAAGGCGCTAGCAGCCATGGCGGCAGCGTTGTTAGCAGTCAGAGGGGGCATAGCTTTGTCTTCCTTATCTAATATCTTATTAATCGCAGTAAAACCTGATATATTAATTAAAGGGACGACGTAAAGAATATAATAAGTAGTTATAATAATAACAGACAAGCTAGCAGATAAGCAGCAATAATAATAGTAGTAGAGAAGACAATATTAATAGAGATAGAGAAACATGATCAGCGCAAAAGTTCTCCGGGTTCACCAAGTAGTGTCTAAGTTAATAGGAAGATACACAACACTCGGAAAACGAGCCTGAAACTTGCTCAATTCGTTCTACCGCTGTACTCAAAGTCAACATCGCAAATACTATGGCCGACGCTCTCAAGGCCGAAGGCAACAAGGCGTTTGCTGCCAAAAACTTCGAGGAGGCAGTGACTTATCTCTTAGAGCGCTGTTAAGCTAGTGCTGGAGTCGCTTAAGTAGACCAGCTTCCTATGGGTACGCGTTGTAATAAGCTTGTAATGCTAGAGGAGCGTTTTGTAGGTTGCTAGCAAAGTACTATATATTATTAGGGTCTTATCCTTGCTATTATATTTTGTACTCTAGTTGACCTCTACTAATTCTTAATAATAGAATCTTCTTAATCTCTTACTCAAGATCTTTATTAACTTTAACTATAAGAAGCAGAGTAGAAACCTAGCTAAAGAGAGGATTATTATCTGCCTTATATAGTTGATCTATATATAATAATAGCGAGATATAATAGAAGGATAAAAGCTCTAGCTTATAGGAGTAACTTATTATTTCTAAAATATAGAAGGGGCCTGTGATAGGATAGTTTAGCTTGTCAAAGGGTCTATCTATTCTCTATAGCTTCTTATAGTAATAAATACAAAGTCTCCTAGATAGAAATTAGGTAAGTAATATTTCTTATTAGCTTGACAAATGCTAAGCCTAAGCTAAGGTTATATTTATTCTAGCCTAGTTTACTGCCTTATTAATATAATATAAGTGCTTCCTTACCTGCTCTTAAGTAGCTCTTTCTTGTACATTCTGGCGTAAGCTATTACTTATCTATATCTAGTCGAAATCCAGACAGGGTTCTTAGCCGTACTTAATTATGTAAGATATTAATCTTGTGAATTTATGAACTAGAGCTGTTCTTGCAACATCTAGTACTAGTAAAAAATAAGCCTAGTTATCTTGAAAGTAATTTACAAATAGTTAGAGTCTTATATTAATAATCTAATTAATAATTTCTATTTAGCCGTCTGTCTAAGGTTATATTAATATTAATAGCTTAAGCTTAATACAATAAAGGCAAGATAGCTTATTAAAAAAGGCACTAATAAATTATAGTCCCTTATTACTAGTAATAGTCTTTAGGCATCCTTTGAATTACTATATATACTTATAAAAGAGGTTAGCTATAATAGTTATAATAATTATTTTCTTTGTTAGTAAGTAAATATATCTTTTACTTAACTAATTTATTATCACAAAAATAGTGTTATATCTATTATTAATAGTACTAGGTATATAGAAATCTATTAAGAGGTTATTTTATAGTTGAAAAAAGACAAGTAAAAAATATAAAAGGCTAGGTATCTTATTATGTAGCTTATAAGATTAATAGTATTTATAATAGTTAGTAATATAACGTACTATATTATTACTTTAATAAGGCTACTAATATAGCCTAGTTATTAAAGCATACGTTTTTGCTTAATCTAGATGTGTTATAATTATTTATAAGTGAATTTAGTAAAGCAAGTATATACACAAGTTATTCTTACTTAATCCTGTTATAACTAGCTAATATACCTTTATTAAGGTCAGGCTCTCCTAGTTCTCTTTAATAACTTTTGCTATAATATTAAGGCTCTTAATATTCTTTATAGTAGCTACTTTTATCCTTATTAAATCTAATAGTATTTAAGTTCTCTCTTATATCTTAGCTTCCTTCTGTGTTAAGATGGCTTTGTTCTTACATTCCTTATTACTATAGCTTAGTTAGAATAATATTAATACTGGATTAAAGATTAGCTAGTATAATTACTTTTAGCTAAGCTACTCTAGTAAGTGTTAGGGCTCAACTAGCTAAGACAAGTCTTAACTGGAAGCTAGGTCTAAGTGGTTAGTTAGGTAGAACAGGGGGTGCAATAACAGATACAAGTATGTCTTAAACTTAGGTGTAAGTTGATAACATGAGTTGACTACGAAGACTATAAAACTATCTAGGAAATGAGCATGCTTATATAGAGTAGGAGATCCGTGCTCAGAGTTGATCATCCTGATCACCTCTGATCATTGCTCATGAGTGCTCA